AAATTTTCCTTGATGGCACCAAATAAACTGCATATTTTAACACATGGAAGGTTTTAGGCCCCCATCCTCTTCCAATCTCCTAGCCAGGGATATTCACTGTTTGTATCTTTAATTTAGTATAATCATTAAATCTGCAGTAGCACATTCCCCTTGCACTCTATCATTGATGCAGCCACTTTTGCCTCGTCAGTGGCAAAGCAGAGATGTGATTTTCTTACAAAAAGTGTCATTCTGATGCAATCCAAAATATTACCTGTTGCTGCTGCTGTTGCTGATACAGCGGCGACATGGTACTGCTGGACTGTGATGCTGGAGAGTAATCAATTGATGCATTGCGACTGGTCATTGGCGATGTATGCACGCTACCCGAAGAGCCACCACTCATCTCCGAAACTGTAACAAAAATACGGCAATCGTCACTGGTTTTCTCAACGACTGAGGTAAGGCTGTGACTAAATGGAGTTTAAATCGTTTATTGCACTCCCTGGATCAGTAATTCAGAATGTTCAAATGCAGCGCTAAAAAGGCAGCTCCCCCTTTCCACCAAAGGTTGAGTTAACAACATACAGATCAAGAAAATTTAATTGGCCAACGCACGGGTTGCCCGTGCGAAGATGCGTTTTTTGCATAGCTCACCGCAGATTTTTGTCGCCAACGCCACTGTTTTTTTCCAGCAGAAGCTTTCAGCTAAAAGAATTTCAGACCGGCCGCCAGGACTGACGGGAAACATCTCTTTAAAATTCCAGTCTTCTAGCTTCTCAGGTCCTCGAGTCAGTAAGTTATCCGAAAAAAATCTTCACGAGTCGTAAGTGGGTACTACGCATACCAGAGGGCTGGTTTGAACTCATTAGTACCTATTTGAACGGGGAACATTCCTTTAAAACTCCAGTTCTCTAGCTTCTCAGGTTCCCGAGTTAGTAATTTACCCGAAAAAAACCCTCACGGGCCGATACGTGGGAATCACTCATACCCGGAGGCTAGGTTTGAGCTCATTAACACCCACGTGGATGGGGAACATCCCCTTAAAATTAAAGTCTAATTTTTTTAGGTTCCCAAGTTAGCAACTTACCCGAAAACTTCTGTGGGCCCGTACGTGGCTACCATGCGTACCTGATGTCTGGGTTGGAGCTCATTAACACCTACGTGGACGGGGAATATCCTCTTAAAATTACAGTTTCCTGGCTTTTCAAATTTTCGGGTTAGCAACTTACCCGAAAAAAACTTTGGCGGGCCCGTGTGTGGGTACCGCGCATACCAGCTCATTAAGACTTACGTAGACGGGGAACATCCCTTTTAATTTCAGCTTCCTAGCTTTCCCCGAGTTAGCTACTTACCTGCAAAAAACTTTCACGGGCCCGTACGTGGGTGCCACGCGGGTAAGAGCGCTCATTTTGGGGACCGTATGTGTATGTAAATTAAGTTCCCAAAGTTTTAGCCCTGTTGCTTTTATAGGTCTTGAGATGAAAGACCTTGACACACTTTTTCCAACCTTGAATCATCGCATCATTTATCTGAGACAGTAGCAAGCAATCTCTTAACTTATGTCGTAGTCTATGCATAATATAATTTGCTCTATGCTGCATCGTCATCGAGCTCAGTTTTTTTACACTCAAACAGAAAGCACATAAATGCCGTTCCTTTTCTACTTGCTTATCCCACTTTTCTCTCTTAATCAAAAGTGCTTGGAACTGCCGCCTTGCTATTTCGAAATGAGCTAACTCAGAATTTCATGAACAGAGAAGCAACTCGCGCAACCCAGCCTACTCCGATGCAGTTTCGCATATTTTTACGAATGTCTCAAAGACATCTGCAGCGCTAAAAAGAGACGAGGCAAACTACTCAATTTATCTGACCCAACAAGCTAAAGC